TTAACTTATTGAGTTTTACAGTCCTCAGTTGGTTTGAGTTCTCTTCATTTATCTGGTTTTACTGTGCTCAGATTGCTTAATTTACTTGAATGGATTAAGTTCACAGTACTCATTAGCATTAATGAGTACTGTGAATTAGCTGAACTGAATTAACTTTTGTTAACTGAATTAGCTTTTTGGGTTTTACAGTGTATGAAACTTAGATACTTTCATGAGAGCCATTTAGTAGGTATGCCGCGCACTAGATAGACCTGAGCTCCTGGCAGCTGGCCTTCTCCTATCTTCACATGTACAACCAATAAATCAATATCAAATCTAGCAGGAAGCCAGATGGCCCTCGACATAGTGGGTCACAGGCCTCTCAAAGCCAGCATGGCTACTGTAAGCCAGACTAACAGAGAGGAGCCTTTGAAGGCATAGACATTCAACAAGCAGCCCATGAATGACTAAAGGGGACAAATAAGCTGTTACGACTCGGGTCAGATCAGTGTTTGTGTTTCTCTGAACATCAAAGGCCTGAGACTGTTTGATATGCAGCCCCCACACCTTGATCCAGAGCCGGGACAGGTAATGGGGTGGAGTAGTCCATTGAGTAACAAGGAGGGGGGGCTTGTAGAGTCCTCCTCTTAGGTCTTGCTGTAGGGCGCTCGACTCAGACAAAGAGTATTTTAGGGCTTCCGACTCCCTACGGAGCAGTCGGCCCCATGAAACCATGAGCATCTTCTGCTCACGGCTGTGGGACCTGGTGATGTGGACCAAACTGTGGTCCTCATGGCACTTCATGAGGTGCTTACTGATAAATCATAAATCAAACATTTTTAATATGTAATTTTTTTTTGCAACACACCTTAGCACTCAAATATTCATGTACTATGGTATTTTTGTACATGTCTAATTCTGGCCATACACTCAAAAAGGACTTTTGCTGCTTGTTTAAATTACGTAAATGAGTTGAATCAACACAATTCCTATGTTTTTTTTTTTTTTTTATATGGACAACCTTACTGTTTTATGTTCAATCCACGTAAAATCAATTTCTGTTGGGACAACATGAAGGAATTGTGTGGAACCCTGCATTTTTGTACAGTACATTCAAAAAGGTCCATAATATATTTTGAAATAAAAATCATATATTTATTCATTAGGGATGTATATGGAATTGATAAAATGTGCAAGTAAACATTTATTTAATGTTACTGAGTTATATTAAGTTTTATTCATCAAAATATCTTGATACTATATCATAATAATAAATGTATTTTGAGCACCAAATCAGCAAGTGACACTTTAAAACATATTTAAAAACAAACTGTTATTTAAAATTATAATAATTTTCATAGCATTGCAGACAATTCTGTGCACATTCATCAAAATTAGCGATTTTTCTCTTGCATAATCACATGTGCAGATTCAAACTCACGCATTAGCTGGTGCTGTTTGTTTACAACTTGCAGCATTCAGCACATGCTTCCTTCCTCTCTGTTGTAAACATACTGTGTGAGTTTGCACCACAAATACGCCATCATGCGACAGGAAGCTTGTGATCTACTGGGTTAAAATGTCGTAAAATGATGTTTACTTTCCTGCACAGAACAACAGTTTCATTTCGAATAGATCTCAAAGTATCATATGGATGTAATTTCATCCACAAAATGCCTGTGCATATTGATTTCTATTTACTGAACTAAAGTTTTAGCTAAAAATCTAAGGTGGAAAAAGTCCCCTGTGGGTTAGTAAATTAACAGCAACTTTTAATTTGTGAGCAAACCATCCCTTTAAATTCGACTAAATGCTCAGCAGTACATTCTATGAGCTTGTACAAACATTATACTCAAAATCCTACAGATTAACAGAGTCAACACAGAGCAGTATGCAATGATGTTGCAATTTTAAAAAACAAGTCCGAAAAACAAGTTAAACAGTAGTTTGATTGAATGGCTGTTCACAGGGGAGTGTGAAATGCCAGCTCTATGGTGAGGTGTGAATAGGGTGAAGGGGGCAGCTCTGGCCTTTGTGTAACTCCCAGGCTGAATGTGCGACTGCTATTGTTCAGGCACGACCGCCAGGCCTCTCAGACTCTCTCCTCCACAGCTTTGTCCAGAGCTGCATGACCACTTCCTTAACCCAGGTCAGGGCAAGGTCGTGACTTTGGCAACTTACCCCTAGACCGTCTGCGCTGCCTGCTCATCCATAAACGCATAAACGCTCAATCAGACTGACTTTGAAATACACTTGAGAAATCTGCCGGGGGACAAAAGCAAGTAGGTAAAAGAAAGAGAAACATCATACATTTAAGAAAAGCAAAAAAAAATTATTGTAAAAAATCTATAGATTTATAGATTTTTGAAACTATAGATTTATGTAAATTAATCACATCTGCTGAGGGAAAGATCACGTCATCAATTTTATAGCATGATAAATAATAAACTACACAAATTACTGCGGGATTTGCACATGTTCACAGTGGTAAAAAAATTAGAAGAATAATTTGGTGTGGGTACCCCTGAGATTTTGCTTGTGTTGTGATAATTTTTTATCTTGATCAGCAGTGCTCATTTTTTTTTTTGAAGGGCGAAAAACCAAATATCATTGCGAGCCATGGGTCGAAGATAAATATACCAAACTGAATCACATTAAAGTTGCCATGGGTAATTCCTAATTTATTTACATTTAAATTTAGTCATTTAGCAGACGCTTTTATCCAAAGCGACTTACAAATGAGGACAAAGAAGCAATCTACACAACTATAAGAGCAATGATGAATAAGTGCTGTAGGCAAGTTTCAGGTGTGTAAAGTCTAAGAAGCAAAGCATTAGTAATGTAAGGTTTTTATTTTTATTTTTTGAGTACGTTAGTGGTATAGCCAGAGAGATATTATTCCCCAATATTTCAATTTCACAGGAGATATTATTCCCCAATATTTCAATATAAATAGAAAACATTACTTTAAATTGCACTAACTAATGCAGCATCACTTTTAAATGATAAAACAATTAAAACAGTCACATTTAAAACACAATGAAGTTCTGTGCTGAATAAACTATTCAAGCAGAATCTGCCTTTGACTTGGTTTGCTCACCAAAGTCTCTGCATTGTCGAGTGAAAAATGTACATTTAAACAAAATCTGATTAATTTACACCATTTAATTAAAACATTTAATTTCAGTGTTTTTAACAATAAAACAAACAAAGGGTTTCAATACTTTTCAATTGAGAATCTCTAAACCTCTAGACTTAATGGTTTAAGTCATACTTAACTGACCGCTACCAGTTTGTAAATCTTAATGGACAGCCTTCACAAATCTGCCCAGTAAAGTATGGGGTGCCTCAAGGATCAGTTTTAGGCCCTTTACTGTTTACAATTTACATGCTACCTATGGGAGACATTATTAGAAGACATGGGATCAGCTTTCACTGCTATGCAGATGATACTCAATTATATATTTCCACTAAACCTGACGAGACGTCTGAACTTTCTAAACTAACTGAGTGTATCAAAGACATCAAAGACTGGATGACCAACAATTTTCTTCTCTTAAACTCAGACAAAACAGAATTATTACTTATTGGGCCTAAATCTTGCACACAGCAGATCTCGCAACTCAATTTACAATTAGAGGGATACAAAGTTAGCTTTAGCTCTACTATAAAAGATCTGGGTGTCATATTAGACAGCAATCTAACTTTTAAAAACCATATATCCCATGTCACAAAAACTGCCTTCTTTCATCTGAGAAATATCGCTAAATTACGAAATATGCTATCCATCTCAGATGCAGAAAAGCTAGTCCATGCTTTTATGACTTCGAGACTGGATTACTGTAATGCTCTATTTGCTGGCTGCCCAGCATCCTCTATTAACAAACTTCAATTAGTGCAAAATGCAGCAGCCAGAGTTCTGACCAGGTCTAGAAAATATGATCATATAACCCCAATTTTATCCTCCTTACACTGGCTGCCTGTTAAATTTCGTATTGAATTTAAAATATTACTTCTCACCTATAAAGCTCTAAATAATCTAGCTCCTGTTTATCTAACCAACCTTCTGTCTCGCTACGAACCAACTCGCTCCTTAAGATCTCAAAATTCAGGGCTTCTGGTAGTACCTAGAATAGCAAAATCAAGTAAAGGAGGTCGAGCCTTCTCTTTCATGGCTCCTACACTCTGGAATAGCCTTCCTGGTAATGTCCGAGGCTCAGACACACTCTCCCAGTTCAAAACTAGATTAAAGACCTATCTGTTTAGTAAAGCATACACTCAGTGCATCACCTAGCAGGTTCCACACTGGCTTCTACATCTTGCTTATATACACTATGAACAGCAGCTACGCTAATTATTCTCTTTATTCTCTATTTTCACCTGGGGATACTCATCCCGAGGTCCTCAGATTAGGCGGAGTCACTGATTGGATCCAAGACCAGCGACGTGATGATCCCAAGGATTCCATATCCGGGACCAGGCCATATCCTGAGCTGCTGCTGCGCTGATGGTCGTGGGGAGTGGAGAACATGAGTCTGATTCCAGCGACGCTCCAGGGACAGACGAGTCTTCATTGAGGCCATCTTCCAGCATAAACCACGGCGAATGAAGTTCTGCACAAGACTTTTGGCCAGCGGAGAAATTAAAATGGTCGTGCCCAACTGAGTCTGGTTCTCTCAAGGTTTTTTTTCTTCACTCCCATCAGGTGAAGTTTTTTTTCCCTCTCCGCTGTCGCCACTGCCTCGCATGGTTCAGGATTGGTAGAGCTACGCATCGATGAATTTGCTCTTCAGTGTTTGAACTCTCAGTAATGATTAAATCACACTGAACAGAGCTAAACTGAACTGAACTGAACTTAAACACTAAAACCTGAACCACACTGTTCCAATTACTATGACCATTTATGTGAAGCTGCTTTGACACAATCTACATTGTAAAAGCGCTATACAAATAAAGCTGAATTGAATTGAATTGAATTGAATTGAATTAAACCCTCTCCGTCATTCTTTCTCTCTTTTCAGATGGGATGGCGAGCCAAATTAAAGGATACCATGGGCAAACTTTGGCCTATGTGCCCTAGTTTGGGCATCTCTGATCTTGATGAACAACATGTTTTTTTGCACAATGCAGAGAAACAGTTTGGTATTGGCCATTGCCAAATCCGGATACACTGTATCACTCCTTATCAGGAGTTAAAAAAACAAAACAAGATCTCTTCTGAGACATTGGTTTAACTTTAAAATGTTGTAAATGATGCTTACTTTCTTGCACAGAACAATTGTTTCATTTCGATTAGACCTCAAAGTATCAGCAGGAGCCAAAGTAATTATTTTCATCCACAAAATGCCTGTACCTATTGATTTAGATGTACTTTTTCTATTTATTGAACTACAGTTTCAGCTAAAAATGTAAGGGGGAAAAAGACGGATATACTGTAGTACTTCATGTCAGGAGTTCGAAAACCACAACAAGATCTTTTTTTTCCTACCAGAAATGTATCTTTCTTGGAGTTTGGCACAAATGTAAGACATTCACTTTGTGTGTGTGTAACAGGTGTCATCCTGCAGGATTATCCCAATAAACTACTTTTTTTTGCTCTGCTCTAACCCTTGTCTGACTTCCACAACAGTGTTTTTCAATTTTTGTGACACACAATGTCTGTGATAACTTGAAAGTATATATGAAGAGTTCAGATGCAAAAACCTCTAAGTGCCATCTGAAATTTTCATCGAAAATGACCATTTTTCTCAGCCTCCTTTGTTTATGTTGAGATATTTTACTTTAAAGACCAGAAAAAGGACTTATTATTTGCCATTAAAGTGATATTATTGAACATACACAAAGGAGCATGATGAAAATGCTAATTTTAAAGGGAACTTTTCATTTGGCATTTAGAGGTTTTGCATCTGAACTCTTCATATATCAAAAACATATTATGTATATATTTTTATAACATATTGTTCTTCTATATAAGAGGATTTATAGGCATAGTTGACCTAAAAGTTTGCCATTCATCCTTGTCATCATCCAAATTGAGTTTTTTTTGCTCTCTCCGACAAGACCATATAGTGAATGATGCTGAAAACCTTTAACCATTGACTTCTATATTAGTTTTTTCTACTGTTTATCTCAGTGGTTACAGGTTTCCAACAATCTTCAGTAAATCTTATTGTTGCACAGAAAAAAAAATTTGATTGGAACAATTCAAGATAATGTAAATTATGGTAAAATTTCCATTTTTTTGGTTATAGAAAACAATATTAATTGACATTACCCGGTTAATAATAATAATAATAATAATAATAATAATTCATTTTATTGGCGCCTTTCAAGACACCCAAGGTCGCCTTACAATAAGCATCAACAGACATGCTAAAACAAATTAAACATTACTAAAAACAATCATTGACCAAACAAGTTAAAACACAATAGCAAATATAAAATAACATAATAAAAAACATAACAAAAAAATTTGTTAAAGAAAAGCCTGCTTAAAAAGATGGGTCTTTAGACGGGATTTAAAAGTGTGAAGACTATCACTGCTACTTATCAAGGGGAAGCGAGTTCCATAGCCGAGGAGCCATAGAGTTAATGTCACAAAATAAACTTGTAATTTTCCCTGGCATGAAACAAATGCAGGAAAAATGCATAAAAGAATGAAGGAATATCAACTGAAATTTTAAATGAAGAAAACTTTAATCAGATTGAATGGAAATTATTAAATAATTCCCCTCGAAATAGACTGACTGACTCGATTTAACCTTTGTTTTGTCTATAGGCTGCTTGTATCGTTTTTACATACAAGGATGAAAGGAGACAACAAAAAAATCTTATATATAAAGCAGCAGCTTTCCCCTTTGCTCTTAGAACTACAAAACTACACCAAACACCCATTATGTTTTTAACATTTGTCACTGTCAAACTGCATTTCAGATTTTAGTAGGAAAATTTAGCATTTAAGTTTAAGAATTAGGTCAACTGGAATAAAAGACAGCCCACATCAGCATCAACGAAAGCAATGCAACAAAGTTAGTTTTTTTACTAAATCTGGATGTGGTCTCAAAACATTTTAAACTGTTTACAACTTTATTTAGTGTCATCCACTTGAGATCGGATTAACAAGAATGCATCTTAATACCAGGTGTAAACTGTGATTGAGAGCGTACATAATGCACTTAAATTTACTATGTTGAATTAACCCCCCTGTCAAACAACCAAATGGCCTCTTCTATGTAACTGTGCAGACACTGGTTAGTCTGGTCTCTCTCTCTTGTTCCAAGGCCTGCGAAGAATGAAACCCCTTCACTGTTGATAAGAAGAGGAAAGACTAAAGCGCTCAAAGGCATGGTCTACACGGTTTTGGGGCCGAGCGAAGAAGGAGGGGAGGTAAATCGGCTGATAAAGATCACCGTGGGTCTTTGATCTTTAAGGAACTGATAAGATGTTACCAAGTGGCATGCTGGGTGGACAAGCAGGCCCACATGACAGGTACAAACAAGCAAACACAGCCCCAGAGGTGATGTCTTCAAGGAGAGCCAGATAGAGGAATGGCAGATGGGCAATTAGCCGTTTCGCTTTAAATTGAAGTGGACTAAAAAGTGAACACAGCACACTTGCCTCACTGAGCAAAGTACTTTAGATCTCGTGTGAGATGTGTTGAGCATGAGTAAGGACATTATTTATGACTTTAAAACATATGTATTTAGTAATCTAACTTCCTTTTAGGTCTAATCAGCTTGGAAGAACAATGAAAGAACATGCTCCATTAGCTCAGCACCTTATGTATTTGAAATATATTTACCAACCTGTATACTCCCCACAGGAAAGTGGAAAATAAGATACCCTTTGAAACACTAAGTGTAAATACAGTAGGTTAACGAGTCCCTCGCATCAAACAAAACACATCTTAATACAATAGCGCAGCAAGGACCTGGAGGAATCATTTGCAGCTGGATCCATCAAGATTTTCATATGAAGGTTAAATTATTAAGGTGTAACTACTGTACAGTGCTCCGCATATATGAGTACACCCCCCACAAATCTCTCATTTAAATAAATGTACAATATTATATTTGTATGCATTAGTTTTGTCATTACTGAAGCCAAATCTGGAGCTAATCTAACAAAAGAACTTAAAATAATTGTTCAAATTAGTAGCCTAAATTTATATGTTAGGGAAAATATGAAATAACATTTTCAAAACAAGCAAAAATCAAGAGAAACAAAAATATATACAATTTTGTAGTTTGCGATTTGTTTTTGTAATATTTTGCATAAATTTATATGTATTATCTTTCCATTTCTAAACATTTTTCTGTGACTAAATTTTTTTTTTTTAAATAAATATATCTGTTTAATAAATCAGTTTTATTCAAATGCACCAATATAAAATAATTAATTCATTTTCTTTTCGGCTTACCTTTAATATGCCCTTCCAGTCGCAACCCATCACTGGAAAACATCCACACACACACTTATTCACACACATACACCACAGACAATTTACCCAATTCACCTGTACCGCATGTCTTTGGACTTGTGGGGGAAACCGGAGCACTCGAAGGAAACCGAGGCTCGAACCAGCGACCTTCTTGCTTTGAGGCGAACGTGCTACCCACTGCGCCACCGTGCAGCCTGCACCAATATTAACCATATTCACTGAGAAATTAGAGGTTTTTTGCTATCTTTTACTTGACTACTACCAAAACAAATAACTGTACTTTTGACTCCACTACATTTCATAAATATAGCAGGATAAAAAGTTATTTTTGAATCATTTTTAGAAATCAACACATTCTCAGGGATGTCACAGATTCAAATCAGATGATTTTTGTCATTTAAATTGTTAAATAACAGTAATCTATACATCTGTTCTTGAGTTAACTCACTGATTTAAATATTCCAATGGACTATATGCACAGCTGTTTTTCATCCAATGATAAACTTCCGGTGAGAGCTTTATGTGCCGTATTTTATTTCCTTTTACAGCATCGATGTTGTAACATATTATAAACCTAATCAGTTAAATAGACTTAAGCATCCATTTGATTGTTAAAGCTTTAAAGCGTTTAAACGCAGGCATCGTCATTAGCAACAGGCTAGCGCCAAAATACTGGGGTAAAATGAACTTTTTAAAATATTTTAAAGACATGGCTGGGGAAAATAGAATTTAATGCAGTGCTTTTTCTTTGTTCTGATACCCATTTTATATCGGATCTGTGCCTGGCAGTGAAGGTCGCTGTTTCTTTTTTTTTTTCAAAGAATTAGATCTTAAACGCTGCGATTTATATCGGGTGACAATTAACCAAAGGCCCTGGCTGACTGAAATCTGTTTATATACCCCATTGAAGCAGATTCTCTGTAAATGATTCATTTCAATGAATTTATGCATATTACCAACAACACATTTTTTATTTAAAAACCAAACACAGATTTATGAATTCAAAGCACATTTGAAAAATAAAACTAGCTTGCTACTTTACTACAAGGCATATTTAACCCATGTAATATATATATTTTTCAGTTATATTGTATACGTATTTGTCAGCATTTACTCACATTTTATTTTAATCCATAAATCATTAAAATATATAAAGTTGAAGGCAATACTTTTACCTCTTAGGTGAAGTTTAACAGAGTCAGGAATTTTTCACAGTATTTCATTTAGCTTTTTTTCTTCTGTAGAAAGTCTTATTTGTTTTAGTTTGGCTGGAATAAAATCAGTTTTAAAAGTTTTTTTTTTCCCCGATTGGCTAAAGAACTAATTGTTCAATGACTTGCCTAATTAACCTAAGTTGCCTAGTTAACCTAATAACCTATAAGTCTTTAAATTGCACTTTAAGCCAAATACTATTATCGTGTAAAATAACTTGAAATGTTTTGTACTTGTCATCATAGCAAAGACAAAAGTAATCAGTTATTAAAAACAATTAGATTTAAAAATGCAGAAAAAAATCTCTAGATTAAACAACACTTAGCAAATATAAACTCCAGTCTCTCTCCCCAAACCTTCATATCCATATCCACTTATTCTATTAAAACAATGAAAAATCATGCTAAAGTGCTACCCCAACAAGACACATCATGCGTTTGAAATACATTTGGCCAATTTGATGGCTGAAGATTGTTAAAGTGACACTCGAATGTCGTAGCGGGGGTGGCCTGTGTCTGCGTGCTCCCTAGGCACTGATTTAGGGCCTGCATGTGGATGCCAGACAGAGGTTGAGGTCTGGGGGTGTGTGTGTTGTAGCCTGAAACAGATGCCTGGCTGTCTGGCCGGAGAGGAGAAGGAGGAGGAGGAGGAGGAGGAGGAGGAGGGTCTGTGCTGAATGAGATTGGGGAACTGCCTGTGGAGTTAATGTGCTTTCATTGGTCCTCCTGGCAACAGAGCTGTAATATTCACTGCACCTGCACCAGGTCTGTTAGTGTGCACGCTAGGAGAAGGATGCAGGGTGTAACAGTGAACATTACTGTAGTATACTTTGTTGTTACAGTGTAATTATGTAAATTGGTTTGCATTAATTACATAATGATGGAGGAGAAATGTCATAGTCAGTTTACACAGTGATTAATGATAATTAAATAAACTAGCAAA